CGTCAGCATCATCAGCTGCTCATGAGGTCAGGCGGTTCCTATCTTCGTCCTGATTTTTTTACCCAAGGTGTTGAATTGTGCTGGATGTTCAAATCACATCGATAAATATCGATAACATCTTGTATCCAACCAGTTCAGATAAGTGCAGCATAGTGCGACAGGATAGGACAACTTGATACAACTTGAGAGCATTGAGGAGAACTGAAAAGTCTATAGCGTTTGAGATGCCTAGGCTCCTAGACTAGTTGACCAGTTGCTGAAACATGCTGAAACTATGCAGCTCACGCTCCAAGTCTCCTCGACACCGGCTCACTTTCCTGCTGAGTGTGATGTGGCCAAACCGTAGTAGTGAACAACCAAACCCGACACAGACCCCATTCCAGTCTGGAATTCAAAATGACACAGAAGAGGCAGAATTAAATTGGTGCCAGTCCTTACCCACCACATGTCACCACTGGTTTCCCTTACACTAACTGTTAGTAACGAGAATGACAACGACAATCACAGCTACGACAGCAACCGCAACCACAAAAACAATGTCAGCAAAAGAATAAAAAAACATGACACAACAGCAAAGAGGGCAAGAACCAAGACGGAGGAAGAATGCGGACCCGATTGAATGTAGCTACAAAATGCTAGAAAATGCTACAAGGATCGGAAGCAATTCTATTCCAAGGGACAGCATGCAAGAATGCGCTACAGTCCAGTTCTGGCGCCTTGACAGGGGGGAGGATCTCCTCCGGTGGTGTCACCGTACCCGTAGACTCATCCTCCTGATCCAAAATTGAAATATTACAAGTGCAAGACCCACTCGCATAAGCTTCCAAGTCAAATCCAAGCTGTTGAGAGGGATAGTTGAAGGCTCTCTCGAGCAAAAGGATGCCTGTGGAAGAAAGCCTGACTATCGAACGCTTGAAATCTTTCAATGAGCATTAGATGCTCTAGCGTACTTCATGCTGGATCATACGGGTCAAATGAGAAATCATCACAAACTTCAAACTACCATGGCTTGCCTGATCCCTGTTCTTGGCATCAGCTGCCTCCAACAATGGGCCCTGGACACAAGGGGGCCAAGTGGAAGGCACAGGCATTAGGATCAAGAATAGATGAAGGACTCAAAGGATGTAAAGTGAGAAAGAACAGAACCGCACAACATGTTTGAGATCTTTGCATCTCTCACAGTGCTTCGCGCAAACACTGACTGCCGGTGATTGTGATCTGGAACCTCCCATGGCTGTCCGCTGACTCATGCTCAGAAGTGGAGATCAATCCACCCCCAAGAAATCCAGAAAACATTCGACAGCTGTTGTCACAATTTGTTGTCTTTGCCAAGCTCCCCCCGAAAGAAGTACAGTATCGCTTTTGGAGGGCCCTATCGCTACACATGGTTTTACTTCTGAAGATTGAGGAACAAAGTGTAAAGAAAAGAAGGGGAAAGCAAGAGGAGAGGAAAAGGAGAGAAAAAAAGGGGGAAGGAAGAAGAAAAGAAAAAGAACAGAAGAAAAAAGGAAAAGGAAAGGAAGAGAGGACATGGAAAGGATGGACAGGAACAGGAATTTAAAAGGACAGGGTCTATCATCGGGTCTATCTGTTGTCTGGGGTTACTTTTTGAACAAATTGGTATTGCTAAGGGTATCACTGATTTCGCTTCCTGCATGTACGCAACTTTGTATACAGTAAAGCAACGTTAGATGTGTGACATTATGTACAATTATAGGTATCGGTATCGCTTTTGGGGGGCCCTATCGCTGATATCGCTGAACAGTGTTTGGTGGACTTTCCAGACACAGCACTTCCTACATCTTCTTACTAAAGTTACTAAAGTGGTCTACCATGATCTACCAGAGTTTTGACCGTACATCGTCTCTCAGGATCCCTGAGGTATTCTTAGGTGGCCTCCGGCTCGTCCGGCGAAGCTTCCACCACTTCTGCGGTCCTATGCGTTAGCTGCGCATGTGGAATCGTCATGCAAGTGATGTATGTGTGTATGATGTGTATGTGTGCGTGCAATGCAATCCCACGGGATGGAATCAAATGCAATGTTATGAAACATTCCGCCATTTGTACATGTGTGCACATCCCTGCACGTGTGTTGATGTGCTTTGATTGTCAGTCTGACAATGTCTGACAATAATGAAAGGGCAATAAATCAGGAGTCTACGAACATCACAAAGGGTCAAACAGTTCTGCAAATTGAAACTAGTTGGATGCCCGTCATTTGGAAACAAATCGCTCTCATGGGTTTCCTTGATCTGGCGCTTCTACTCTCTCTGCTGATCTTGCAGGTTTGCCAGCTGAATGACATTGTCCATCTTTGTTTGATCATCTTTTCATGTATGAAACCCTCCCGGAATCTGGCACTCGTACACTGGGCTCCTCGATATCGCCATACTTGCCTGTAGGATTTGTGAGTGGCTGAGGAGATGGAAAGGCCTGCTGCATGTTGCTACATCTCTCCTAGTACCTAGCCTAATCTTGGGTGGAGACAAAAACTTAATGAACATGGAACACGGCCACAATAAAATCCAACCAAACCACGGAATGCGATTCCCCTCCGGCCTCTTGAGATTGTAGAGCAATGCAACTGTAGAGAAATTGCAAATAAGCTTCCGCTGCCTGGCATCATCAGTGCTTGCAACAAATTCAATTGGAAGACATTTAAAGTAGTATGAAGTGGTATAACTGGGTATAACAGTGTTCTCATCGCTACTCTTGCTCCAGCAGGTCCAACAAGCAGGAGACAAGGAGACAAGCCCAACATGCTTCCGCTGGCACGCTTTGAAAGGGAATCAAGCGCGAAGTCTTGAGCAACTGTCCTTTTCTTCAGATTCCAGCAGAACCTTGCATAACCTTGCAATAACCTGCAATTGGGGCTTAGGGGCCAAGCTATCCTCTAGTCTGCGAATGTGATTTTGCAATTCATGCCAGCTTGCCTCATCCCTCTTCTTTGCCTCAACTGCCTCCAGCACTCCGCCCTGGCGTCCAATTAAAATATATATATATATAATCTTCAGACTCAAAAAACAATATTTCAGCGAATCATGGTGTGTCAATCTACTGGGGTCAAAAAGCAAATGACCTTAGGATGTAAACTTTCAAAATAACGGAATTGAACGTAAATAAGGTTTAGGATGGTTTAGGATATTTGCAAACCAACCAACAGTTTTAGATTGAAATCCAGTTTGACAGGGTTTTGAGCAAATTGTACTGAATCACACAACTGCAGCCATCCACATGGCTCATTTTGCGAAGAATTTGGGTGACAAACAAATAGATTTTTACAGCGCAGGCCAAAATAAAGTATGTGCGCAGAAGACAACAGGAGCCATAGACAAACGAATGCAGGCACCTAAAGAAATCATCCACAACAAATACTTACAACATCTTACAACAGCTCACCGGACTTGCTCCACAGCAGCAGCTGTTGTTGGGCACGACCATGGTCAGCTGCTGGCAAGCAGCCATTCGAGAAATAATCAACATTCTCCAATTCTTCAATTATTTTTTCTTTTGTTTGACAACTTTGCTTAACTATGTTCATGTTCCTAATTTTCTTGGTCTTCTGTTTTTGAATGTATTGTGTTTACATCTATTTTTACTTTCTATTTTTTGCAGTCAGAAACCTTGCCAGCTGCTCAAACAAAAATCTATGACTCTCTAAAAAAGCCCGCCACAGGCGTCACTTTTGAACATTTGGATTGTTGGTCAAAAGCATTCATTCCATCAATCTGAAAGCAGTTTAAAAACCGACGCTGCAAATAGGCATGAATTTTGTGAATATTGTAGATATATATATAATCATTTTTTACATTTTTTTAGTTTTCATTTTTCAACATGCAATATCATATGTCATATTTATTTCTTTAAAACATTTTTTTTTCAGTGTTTTGAATTTTTCCTTATTTCCGCGGACATTCCTTAAATTCAAGGGCTGGCCTGGAATTTCCGCGGAAGCAAGGAAATAATAAACATATAAAACAATAAAAACACAAAACAATAAAGACACAACGAACCAGAATAAATAAAACAAATAAACAATTGTTAAAATAATCAACAATAAATTGCTTTCAGATTGATGGGATCAATGCTTTTTGAGCGACAATCCAAATGTTCAAAAGTGACGGGCTTTTTTAGAGAGTCATAGATTTTTGTTTGAGCAGCTGGCAAGGTTTCTTTCTGCAAAAAGAAAGTAAAGTCTACATTGAAAAGATCAGCGCAAAAAATGAAAAACAAATATGAAATCTGGGCCGTGCCTCGAAATTAGCTGCGCAACCCTTTTTTCAGCCAAGGATCTCCCTACATTTGATGAATTTTGCACACTGTAACCTGATTTACGAAAGCTAATACCTCAGGATATCTTCGTAAGTTTTAATTGAAAAACCCTTCTGCCTGCGGCCTCATGTCTAGTAACGATTAGTAATGCCTAGTACAGTTAATGTCACGCATATCTTTAAAGTTTAGTTCTGTTTAGTTGATTAATTGTTGAATCATGGTGTAGTGTAGAAATGTGTAGAAATGTGTAGACATGTGTAGAAATGTGTAGAAGCATTTGAACAATTTTGAGCTTCATCAGTGACAGCAACGGCTCAATGTCAGCCTCCATCTGTGCCCTCGGCCTGGGAGTTGACATCGTCCCCGAGTCACCCCGAGTCACGGGAGCTGAGCAATGCTTCCAACGGTTGTGACATTTTGTGACTCATAAAGCATTATGTCATAAATGACTCAGCCAACCAACAGTCTCCCTGGTGCTTGACCATGGCAGTCTCGTGCAAGAAGCTGTCTATACATGTTTAAAATATTTCAATATATTTCAATATATTTCATACTTACATTCTTATTTGCATTATGCATTAGTCGTTCGGATTTCATCTAGATAACAACCGTTCTACTTGTACCAATGCCCCACTAACAGTATTCTGGCAGTGTCAAATCCCTTGGCATACATGATCTATCATAATCCATGATGATCCAACCACTCTAAACCCATTTCTGCAAGACCTTTAAGATGCCCGCCGGTCTGCTGGTCCCATCTTTCCTCCCAAAACCAAGCCAAAGCACAAAGGGTCACTATCGACATTGAGCAGGTTGCGATGTGCAAAAATTTCTTCCCCGGTCAAAGTTGGACTAGCAAATCCAAAGAGCTCGCATTCGAAGATTCCAAGTTGATCCAGGAACTCCTCGCAAGGTCCGCAAGGTCAAGGAGTGCCATCGAACATGGTGTTAATCCGATTAATCGAGATTATCGGAAGTCACATGTGAGGTGTTTTGAGTGAGCGCTTGGCCTCTACACGAACATAATCGAATATATATATATATATATGTTAACTAATTTTACATAGTTCTTGGACAGCCATAAGCTGAAAATCAAGGTTTTAATAATTATTTTCAATTTTTAATTTTATTTTACTGTACATTTTTCATAAAATGATCATGTTTTTGCAATTGCCAAAATGGATTTCATTTAGATTTTCATTGGGATTTTCATGTGACTTCATGGATGTATCTTGTTCATTAGCAATGCTCGGTACTTTTTGCAAAAGAAACAATTTGAATGTAACTGTAAACACAAGCAGGAAACACACATAAGACAGCATGACGCGACACTAGGACACAATGAACACGAAACACACATCCAAAAACCACATGAACAATGAACATATTTGAATTTGACTGCATGAACATAAAATGAAGACATGAAAACCAAAAAACAGTTGCCAGATGTTGACAAAAAATCAAATTGGCTGACGACATGAACATGTAAATGCAATAAACAAAAATAAAACCCTGTGAGACTCTGCCTTCTGAACCTTTCCTGAATGGCGAAAACAAAGCTTGCTTCCGTTCAAAACCTATGGAACCTTAGTAGCCTAAACTAGCAGAAAGGCTTCCTTCATCTTATTTTGCACCGTATTTTTGAAACGCTTCTATGACATAATATGACATAATGTTTTGCCACCGAACCCCTGACGCATCCTTGCGGAATTGCCTGCAAAAATGATTTCATTTCTTGTCAAAAGCGAAGCTCTGCAGCATTTCTCAACTTGACCCCGTATGGGTGTGCTGTACGTCCAAGGATGTGGCATTTCAAAAGCTTCACCGGATGTTTGTGCCTATCTCTTCCTACATTTGTATCTTTAAAAAGAGCCCCTCGTGGTGCCAGGGGAGGGGTTGGACCACTGAAAAATAAAATTAAACCAAGGACCCCAACCTGGGGTACCACAAGTGCCGGAAATAGAATTCAGGAAACAACCCCATTAATCCCTTAAACATCAGCAAATTCTAAAAATAGAATTAAGGACTATCAAAAATAAGATCAATAGGCATCCAAGGTCCTACTACCTACTCTGACCTTTTAGATCCTTTTAGTATTGCGCTGGCATCCCCACAAATGAACCCCAGCGGTGCAGCCACTGTATAGATTTAAGTTTTGGATTTGCAGGTGTTTGATTTCCTGACCCATGCCCGACCACCGATTTATATATAGGAAAAGAAAAGAGTTGAACATATTTATACTTATACTTATACTTATACAGAAACATATTCATTTTTTTGTGTATAAAATGTGGATATATATATATTATACATATTATAAATTATTATAATATATGAAGATGGTCTTACAGAAACACATAGATGTAAGTACAAACTATTTTTTTTGACAATATCGGACCTTATTTTTGCAGGTGCAACCCTTGGACTAGGGCCTGGTTCAAGTTAGTGGGGGCTGGGAGGGTTTGATCGTATAAGCAAGCATAACAACATAATATAACAACAACTTTGCCAAGCAAGCCCATGACTACAAATATTGCTGCCTTTTTAGCTGTCAACTAACCTTTGCCTGGGATGACGACAGTCGATCGGGGTTTGGATTTCTTGACATTGGTTGTCTAAGTCTATGGCTCCAACACGTAAATGGGAGTTTTCGGGTGGTATTCTTGGAACCTGTGTTTTTTGACGGTGGTTCAGCGCATCACACGCCAGATTCTCTTTTTTTCTTGTCTCTCTATCATTCTCTCTCTCTCTCTACTAATTACTAAGCTCTATTACAGTTCAAAACTATACATAACACTTATTTCCTAAAGTATTGCAACGGACACAGGCCAAAAATAAATTAGCAGGGTCCCGACCTATTGCCCATCCAGCAGCAGAACCTGTTGAGATCCTGATCACAAGGCCCCTCCAGAAATAGAATCTGTGGGTTCAACCCACCATAAACACCTAAAAAAAATCTTCAAACATATTCTTTTAGGCTCAAGCCCCATGATTTTATTTTGGAGCACCCCACGGGCTTAAAAAGGTTTATAGCAAAGGGCACGTCTTGATGAAGGGCTGAAACCTTCCATAGACATGCATAGCATGGGCTTGTTACCTTCCACACATCTTCCTCCAAAACTCTGTCCTTGCGAGGATCAGCGATTGTTCTACGCTCAAGAACATGATCATAGGCCTGTCGAAGGCTCATCGCTTCGTACCTCGCAGGCACGTCAGAGAACACTCCCTACACTTCTGTGCCCACAGGATTTGGGACAACCGGCTTTTGTACTCTCCTAGCTGTCTGATTTTCTACCACTGCAACCCAACGCTTCCTTTCCTGGCCAAGACACTTCATGAGGTAGGCAATTGTCACAGAGGCTGATCGCGAGACCCCTTGAGCACAGTTTACCAAAACTCTGTGACGCTCGTCACCGGTCTTGGCATCGTGGATGAATTGAAGAGCTCCATCAAGTTCTTTCAGGATGTCTTGGTCACGGGTATCACCTTTATGTTGCGCAGAGGGGTATATTTCATGCACCATGATCTTCTTGTTCCATCATGAAAGCAATTTGCAAGTGCAATGCAGGCCCTTTACCGCTTTGTAAATTGGAGATAATTACGGCACCAATATATAAGTCACATCATGTCACATCTTCATATCTTCATGCCAACCAAGAAGCCAAATTCCAGCTTTTTGTAGCGGAACGGCAAGCCCCGCTCTTCGTTGTACTTGGTTACAAGATCCACTGTGTCTGGATGTGGGTTCCTTGGATAACCAAAGGTTAAGAACTTCTGTCCTTGTCCCCAATCAAGGTGTGGAGATGGTGCTTCGTCAGTTGGCTTGTCAGTTGGCAAAAATGAGTGTTCTATTTAGCTCAGGCTCACATCATTGGCCAAGTTCAAAACATGAGTGATGTTTGTGCGAACTGTGAGCTCCTGGTCATTCTCCAAATTCCGTTTTCCTGGGCCGTGCTGCTTGGATTCACTGAGGCATGTAAAAAATGTATAAAGAAATTGGTTCTTTTGTCGTGACACGCCACAGAAAAGGCAGACTATGGCCATGGCGGACTATGTAAGTAGATAGTACTAGTACCAGTATGGCATACAGCGAAGGCCAAGTCATCTTGAAAGAACTGGAGCGAAAGAAGTCTCTTGCACCGAAGGTCCGCCCAAGAATAACCACGGAAGAATCTCCTCAGCTGTTGGAAGCTTTGCTGAAAACACTCGCCGAACACAAGACACTGACACCCACAGTTGACTGAAACATTCATCCATTACTTTGACATATTTTGGGACAGAGCCCTCGTGACTAGCGTCATCTAGCCTATTCTAGCGTCCAAGCACTGCAATGAGTCACTGCAAGAGTCAAAGTAGTTTGAGAGTTTCACGACACCAAATAAGAGTTGTTCGGTCAAGCTTCGCTGGAGTGTGCTGTCATGTGAGATGCCATGTCTTCTTCCAGCACATCCTTTTCACAACGCGGGCACTTCACGCGTTCTCGTTTGGCCGTAGGATCGATCTGGGAAAGGTCAATGTCACCAATCTCCTTCAACGTCAATCCAATTCTTGCTTCGTGTGGATTCGTGCGGTTGACTCTGGAAAGTGCAGTTGAAATTTATGTCTATACAGTATAGATAAACATATATAATCATACATAGTTACATATTCATAAATATCAAATTATATATACAGTATCAATATCATCCTTACCAGGCGAAGGATGCGAACCCTGTGAGTTGAGGACGAGTGTTGGTGAACTTTGCTCTTCAAACCGCAACCGTAGCAGGTCCTTTGATTCCTCCAAATCTTTCCTGGAGTGGAAGGACAAAACATGGTCGCGGCGCCTGTACGCCGCCGCATGCCTTTAACTATTTTCCAATCCACTTTCTGGGGAATGAGAGGAAGCCACACGATGTGGACAATTTTAGATTAACATGACCTCACATGAGGCAGATTGAAGCAGCACAGGTGCTGGAAGGGTTGTGAATTTATCCTGGTTTTGTGCATTTCGCCTGCACGAAAGAGTGATGCTTGAAGATGTTCTCTGAAAAAAGATTGGTATGACCACTTGACTTTTCCTGGGAATTTCCAATTAAAAGGGACGTTCGCATCTCCTGCAGCACTGTCTTTGCAAGTCCTTTTTCTTCTCAGCAATGTAATGTGTGATGGTGACGTGGTCAACATGAATGTTAATAGCATCACCCCACCCCACCCAAACCCCATATGTAACGTAGCAACACGCGTGAAGGTGACGTGACATGAATTGTTGAAACTATGACGCAGTATGGGTGGCACAGGGGCGCCGCCACCAAGAGGGCAAAGCATGGAGGGTCCAACTATGAGTCCTACTGTAAGAGCTGTTACTTCGCTAACTTCAGTCCCTGCGACCAAGCTTAATTAATTACGTGCTTAAGGATTCAGTTTGAAACCTCATGCCAGTCAACAAATCAAATTTGTTCTTTTGGTCGTTTACCAACATAGTAACATCACCAATGCAGCTTGAGACTCTTCTCTCCAATAGCCTTTACCCTTTCCAGCAGCGCGCTCATGCCGCCACTGGCGGGGGCAGCCTAACAAGGCGGTCTGGAACTTTCCAGGCACAGAATGCGTTTGATTATGTTTTCATATGTTTTCAATCAGTGCATATCAGTACCATTCAGTACTCTAAAGCTCAAGTTGAAATGGTCACGAATCATGACGATTCCGACAAATGACAATCATAATGAATCATACATTACATCCTGCATATGAAATAAAATCATAATGTATGTATACACGCAACCATCAATCAAAATAATGCAAATGCAGAAAGGCTCTGCGTGTGTATGTGTAGTATGTCACAATTTAATACAATAACATTCACAAATAATCGTGTTTATCGAGGGTACTGTGCAAAGTGTGCAGCCCTATGAGAAACAGCCTTTGGCAATTGCACCGAAGAAGATGTTCTGGTGGCTTTTGGCTTGGCCTCTGAAGAGACTGCCGGTTTGATCTCCGGGCCCGGTGGAGCACGTTCGTGGCTGTGTCATATATTGTCAAATCTGACTATGCTGACGGTGCTGCACGATAACCGTCCGATAGCCATCATCGCTTTTTTTGGGTATGCCCAGGAGAATTGAATGAATTTCAAACACATCCAGGATCTCAGGCTGTCTTTATATATCTTTATGTACTTCTGATGCCTTTCCCGCTGCCTTATTTGAATACGTGATGCGTAAAAACACCGAATTTTTGGATTCAAATTCTGCCTCAACAAATCCACAAATGTGCCTTCATCTTTCCAAACGTGGTGTCAATGAGTGCGTTGGGGCTATGTTGGAGCTGCATCTATGTGCCAAACAAATCCAAATCTTTTCGGACTGAGGAAATCTCGAGTGAAAATGGGTACAGCGATTTTCCGAAGATGCTTGACTGACTTGCAGATTGCGGGCATTTCTATTATAATATTATATATATATATTAATATATTTTTTTTCATTGCAGGGGCGATTCTCTCCGCAACCTGACCCTGCCTTTGGCGGAGGTGCTTTGCCTTTGCCGCCGCCTTTGCCCTTGCCCTTTGGCTGAGCATCCTGGGAAGGTACCTTGGTCTTGCACAAAACCGGAAAAACATCGGGGAATTCGTCGGAGAATGTGGTTATGACAAACACAAAAAAAAGGTCTGGCAGGAGTCCAATCCTTGGGAACTCAAAAAACTTTGGTCCGACGCCATGAAGAGCCTGTGGGCTACAAGCTGTTTCTATCTTTCCGACCAAGCTTTTTCTGTGTATTCTTCCAAACTCTGAATCTCCCAGTGTGTGACAAATGAGTAGGGCAGGGCTTGAAATGCTGCCTGACCCACCTCATCTGCCTCATCTCATGGTAAATTTTCCAACACCGACTTCTTTTGCAAACATGGGATCAAATGCACGAGGTTGGCTCCAGTGGAAAAACTGACTGCATGCCCACACATAGAGATATAATGTGTATGTTTGTATGAGATTGCATCATACATGCATATACATGCATATACATGCATTTTCATATATACAAATACATATACATATATTCGTGCTGCCTTGTGTATAAGTCCGCCAGCAAGGCAACACTTAGTACCACTTACCACTGTATATCAATCATAGTTTGGAATTCGCCTACGGTCTTCTTTGATGGACTTATGGCTGACCTTTTCTAACTCTGATCTTTTCTAGCTCTGCATGCTTTCCTTACTGTCCAACTATCCCTTTGGTGCCTTTACAGTATTGCAGAAAGTCAGGTCCCTAGCTGACAAACCTTTTCATCTTTAACGTGTTCAAAGTAGCTCCACATCTAACCTCGCTTTCCGCAATCTTTTCATATCTTTTCTGTCTGAGGCCCCCAGGCTTCCAAATTTCTTTCCGTTTTTTTAAACTATGATGTGTCAAATATGCCACGAACAATCTTTTCATTGTATTTCATTATGAAGTCTCGATGTGCCACCCTTTCTGTAAAACATATTGGTCTTGGAATGGCTGCATCCAAAACTTAAACAGGATCCTCTTTGAACATATACACCCGTCACTGGGACGAGTTTATGTCAACTTCAGTTCTTCAATGTGATGATCTTATTAAATATGGAAGCGTGCCAGATTGGCTGCATTGGCATGTCACCCTCACTATTCGGGATAGCCTGTGGGCGCTGCGCCCTATGTATGTTGCTCCTGGCCCAGGCTAGCCCCGAAACAGTAGTCCGAACCATAAATTGGAACTTAAAAGCACATTAACAAAGCAACATTCTAGACAAAATAAATTTCCTCTAGCAAAAACTATCATTATTTAATTATATAAAATATTATAATTATTATATTCCATTACACTAAAATATATTATTCTGCCATTTTACGGCATCCAGTACTTCACTCAGCTGACATTGGCTCAGGGCGTAGTGGCATAACTTGCATAACTTGCGTAACCCTCAAGAGATTGATCGCTGGGATTAGCTTTGCAAACCCAGTTGTCTTTGCAGCTTGGACACATCAGCATGCGATCCTGCAGGAGCCAACTCTGCTGGTCCTCAGCATGGTAAATTTTATGAAGCACATCAGTCTTGTCGGTACACCAAAGCGATAAAGACACACACACACATATATATATAATATACAGTGTACATATAGAGAGAGACAACATTAAGTACTGAACAGCATGGTTGTATGTGACCAATCAACAAGCCTAAGAATTTCAGGGATGCTCTTTTCAGCAAGCCCAAGAAATTCTAATAAGTATAAATATATTATAATATAATGCAAACAAAACTCCAGTGTGTGTGTACCCCTTGCAGCTGCAATGCTTTAGCAATGACGGAGTGACTGGACATGACTATGACCGGACTGACTGGAAATGACTGGACATGACTGGACAACACCAAAGCCCCCGCCTTCCGCCACGTCTTTCACTTCCTTACAATAGCCTTGCATACAGCTGAGTACATCAAGCGCAAGTTGACACAACATGACACAACATGGCACAACATGGCAAAACAAGACCAATAAAAATAGTCAGGACATCGCACTGATTGACTGATGGCACACAGATCTACATGACGATTCCAAATGCGTTCACTGCATAGTGCAATGCATCTGACCGCCTTCATTGCCCTCGGACACCTGCTGAACAGGACTTGCACTCGGGCCTTCAGCACCTGGCACAAAGGTTTAGCTCTCGCTCAACAAATGCAACACGAGCATAATGCACCAACAGGTTTTGACATTTGACACCAACAGAAAAGAAAAAGAATCATGAACGAGGAGTGAATGAGGTGCATCCATATCCATGGCTAGGGCTGCTACAAGTGCAAAACGCCATCTCCGCTCAAATCTTTGTGCTGTTTCGGTGCTTTTTCCACTGCGTGTTTCCCTTATCTCATGGATGGGTGGATTTTGCTTGTGGACCGTTCAGAATGACAGAATCCAAACAATCCTGAGGGCTCAGATTGCTAGAAACATCAGCCCTTTGCATTGCAGTCCCATTATGTCATCAAGAATGCTTAGCCAAAGCTTTCTCCCTACCAGCAAGGCTGGCTAAGCAATTGCGGACACTACCCCAACCATTGACCAGGTTCCAGCAAACCTTTTTTGGCATCGTGCTATGCTTTCCAACTCACCCTTTGGTGGTGGAATATTAATGAAGACTTCGCTCGCAACATGGAGCACAATGCCGGGACTCCTTCTGGTCCAGGGCCACTAATGGTCTTGTGAGTCTTGTGCCTTTCAACATGGAGAAAAACCTTGAAATTAAGGGGCCTTCCATCCCAAGGTCGGCCAAAAGTCGACAGGTCAGTGGCACTTCTGAAACCGCTGACATCTTTCGATCAAGTACTTTTGATCAAGTATTGCTAGCTGTCTATGGTAAATTGTCATCCTTTGTTGGTCTTGCACGATTATGCCACCCACCTAGTTTATTGCAAAGTGCATCTGTGAATTATTCAACGTCACTCCTTGTCCGTGATCTATCTGGTTGACCCAAATGGCTTTGGTGGCGGCCGCATGGCAGAAAAAAAGTCCTGCCACAAGGTCTTGCTTGCTGCACCAATCTTCCTTGGCGACAATGAAGATTTTGTAGATGAGCTGTCACTCGACTTGCCTGGCTGCATCTGACTGTTCAGACCTGCATGTTCACACAAAACTTCTGATTTCGAAATGCCTTAGATTCTTCATGGCATATTCCTAAGGAAAGCCAAAAAAACAACTTCAAATGCGAGGCAAGTGGCCAAAGCAAGTGGGCTCCAATGTGGTGACTGACTTTTCACCAGTGGGCGTCTCACTCTCCAGTGTCTCAGAAGGTCGGCCAAACTGACGAGGTGCCAACATTGCTCCAGGGGTGCTACAGACGTTGATTGAGCCAGACTTCATTCGTGGCAACAGGCTGGTTAGCAAAAGTAGCTTGACATTTCAGATATTTCACATATTTCACATGAAATCAGAATAAAACAGCAAATTATAGCAAACTACTGCAAAGGGCAGGGCAATGTCAAGATATGTGAAGCATTGTATGGCACTAATCACAGGATCTAGTCTACAGCTGGTCTCTGCTGCTGCTGCCGATGATGATAATGATGAAGAATACTATGATGTTCTTCTTGTTATCATTGTTATTCATATTTATTCATTATGATCATTCTTGTTGTCATTCTCTCTCCCTCTCCCTCCCTCCCTCCCTCCCTCGCTCCCTCGCTCTCTTTCTCTCTCTCTCTCTCTATCGCCCTCTCGGGCCATTGATATTGCGTCTGAACGTCTGAAATCAGGATTTACGCAAGTAATTTCTGGGAAGCACAAGCACACAAGAACGTTGCGAATACTTTGCGATCTGCCGTGATGAATGATTCTGTCTGACTTGTCTTCATTTTTCTTCGTGATTGTGCATGCAAGTCCTGGCCCTCATCCTCAAAAAGCCAAAGCAGAAAATCAATGAAAATCATGCTTGAGAGACCTTCGGCACTGCTACTGGCACTGGGTGTTGCAGTGGTTGCACTAGATGGACTCAAAGCTGGACCTGACTAAGGATGACGGACGAAGAGGGCTCCAAAGAAGCCACCCACTGGGATTGGGGCGCATTAATTGCACAAGTAAAAAGTACAAACAACATCAAAACAACTGTAGATGACTGTAGTATTCTTTGTGTTTTGATGTCTTTTGTTGGGTGGACTGAGATGTTGCGCCTGCCAGCTCTTTTAAGTCGATCAAGCAAAATGACTAAAGCAGAAGCGCAACACGGTACAAGGATGTACAAGGCCCTTCCCAGTGCTGGGTGATTCCTGTTTAACGCCCATGGAATCCATGGAATTTGGAACATCAGTTGATCAGTTGTTGAACGGAGCAGTGGGACGCAGGTGGAGACAGGTGCGGCACATTTTGGATGTCCCACTAATGTCAACTAATTCATGATCTGCTCCTGTTGGCAAATGCTGTGCGAAGAAGTTGATGCATCTGGATCCTCCTACTTGATACATCTTGATACTGTAATTGTAGCTCCGGCCCACACATAGCCATATCCTGATCGTGCAACCCCCCCGCCCTTTCCTTCTGCCGGCAGCTTTGCTGCTTCGACCACTGGTGCTGCTCCTGAGCAGAGTATTCTGGATCTGTTCAAATCTGTTCAATTGTCAAGCTGGAAATCGAATGAAATCGAACCGTTGTCTCAACTAATCTCATCTAGTCTCAACATCCTTTTGGATCCAGCATTTCTCAGCTACAAGCAGCTGCCACTGGGCAACCTAACATGAGTAGTCCCTTCAATTGTTTGAGTCTTTCAAGTCCGCTCTTGTATCTCACATTATCTCACCGCCTTCTGGATTGCCTGCGGGCTTCCATCCATTTCAATCCCAAGCGCAATGCAAATGCCCCGCCCCAAACTCCTCCAGACCGGCTGCAACAGAACTCTGCACTAAATCCCTGACCCATGGGCACCTGTCAGAACATCGCCGGATGCTGGAACCTAGTGTGGTTCCTTGACCTATGACCTAAGTAGGTAAAAATGGGGAAGTCCTCCGTCGTGGCGAGACCACAAACGACCACAAATCGCATCTTGTTTCATCTCTTGCCCAACAAAAACAACCCAAATGACGGAACGATACGGAAAGTCATGTCAACGGCCAGGCCTTTGACGCTGCGTCAGTGATCGGTCTCCCGAGATCTCTAGCCACAATTCCGGCGAAATGCATCGGATGATCATCCATAACAGGAATTAAGATGATATATACATATATATATATATATATGCATACACACACATATATATAATATTATATAATTATATTATATATATATAAATGTGGCAAAATGATATCGTGCACTTCTCACAGGATCTCACAAAAACACCACAAAATCAGTTTTGATAGCTTTGTGAATTTTTCAAGAATATACAAGTACAGCAAATTCACATCGGCTCAGAAGGCTTAACTGTTTGCAAATATCTGGGGGCATTTGAGCAATTTGACGATCCGAAGCCGACCAACTGGCACTGCAGGCAGTCCCGCGGGAACAAGTCACCCCTGGCCACTGCAAAGCCATCTGGGAGAACTGACCTCAATAGTCAGCATGAACTCCAGAGAAGGAAACAGTGAGTCAAACGATGAAAAAATATTTCAAAAACACATGCTCCACCTCCACTTTCTGGCTTTAGCACAGCCAAGTCAGAGCGTTCTAGCTCTGATCAATCAACAATCTGACAATGACAAAGTGTAGGAAGAGCTAAGAGCACGCGCAAAAAATGCAAACATCCTGCCTATTCTGACACAAGCGGAAAACACAGATTCAAATTCCGAGGCATCCCGACGATGCCGGCGACTCGAAACCGCCTGGAGATATGCAGTGCAAAATTCAACAGAACTAGGCGCACCCTGTAATGATATGTAATGCTCCTCTACGTTGGAGAAACTCAAGGCAACCAGCACCGACATAATTTTTTCTTGATCTCTCTTGTGTATTCTTGGGTTATGTTTTCCATATTTGTTTGTTTTCTCGTGTCTGCTTGCTTTGATTCTTGATGCACCCGTATGCCGCATCATGCACATGGGTGCGAGAACCGCTGCTCTGGTCGTACCTGAGGTCTCCTGCTGCAGGTTGTGGGCCTCGGAGATTCAACAACAATGCAGCTCATGATGCTCATGACTAGCAAATTGAAGCTCAATGGCGGAGAGCCAAGGCTGTGATGATGATGGTGATGATGATGACGACGACGGTCATGGTGATGATGGAAATGGTAATAATAGAATGGCCTGAAAGTACGGACTTTACCCGTCGAACCCAACTTGGGAAAATAGTTACCCTGCCCCGAATTCTTCCAATTTCCAGCTCTCTTCGGGCGTTGCCGGTGTACTGTAACATGGATTAACATGGTGTAACTCTATCAGTGGCTGACTCTCCCTGTTCTCAGTGGACTGCCACCGGTGTGTTGAAACATGGCTAAATGCCATTCGGTCTGAGACATCCAGGACTCTCACTGCTGCAAATGCATCTGGGAGAACTGACCTCGATAGTCAGCATGAACTCCAGAGAAGGAAACAGTGAGTCAAACGATGAGAAATTATTTCAAAAACACATGCTCCACCTCCACTTTCTGGCTTTAGCACAGCCAAGTCAGAGCGTTCTAGCTCTGATCCACAATCAACAATCTGACAATGACAAAGTGTAGGAAGAGCTAAGAGCACGCGCAAAAAATGCAAACATCCTGCCTATTCTGACACAAGCGGAAAACACAGATTCAAATTCCGAGGCATCCCGACGATGCCGGCGACTCGAAACCTCCTGGAGATATGCAGTGCAAAATTCAACAGTTCTAGGCGCACCCTGTAATGATATGTAATGCTCCTCTACGTTGGAGAAACTCAAGGCAACCAGCACCGACATAATTCTCTCTTGATCTCTCTTGTGTATTCTTGGGTTATGTTTTCCATATTTGTTTGTTTTCTCGTGTCTGCTTGCTTTGATTCTTGATGCACCCGTATGCCGCATCATGCACATGGGTGCGAGAACCGCTGCTCTGGTCGTACCTGAGGTCTCCTGCTGCAGGTTGTGGGCCTCGGAGATTCAACAACAATGCAGCTCATGATGCTCATGACTAGCAAATTGAAGCTCAATGGCGGAGAGCCAAGGCTGTGATGATGATGGTGATGATGATGACGACGACGGTCATGGTGATGATGGAAATGGTAATAATAGAATGGCCTGAAAGTACGGACTTTACCCGTCGAACCCAACTTGGGAAAATAGTTACCCTGCCCCGAATTCTTCCAATTTCCAGCTCTCTTCGGGCGTTGCCGGTGTACTGTAACATGGATTAACATGGTGTAACTCTATCAGTGGCTGACTCTCCCTGTTCTCAGTGGACTGCCACCGGTGTGTTGAAACATGGCTAAATGCCATTCGGTCTGAGACATCCAGGACTCTCACTGCTGCAAATGCATCTGGGGCCAGAGAAGC